TCATTTTTTCCGAATCTCATTTCTATGCCAGCATAGAAAATACAAATAATAATAACAACAATAACAACAACAACGCAAAAAAACAGACAACAATTACGTAAACAATAATTACGTAAACAACAGTTACGTAAACAAGAGTTTCGTAAACAGCAACCGAAAAAAACAACAAGCCAATGAAATATGACTACGTCACAGATGATTCAAACATCAACACCGACAAGACATAGACAAAAAAAACATAGAAAAGAAGCATAAACAACAAACATAGACATCAAAACATAGACAACAAACACGGACATCAAGAACATAGACAACAAATATAAACAACATTTTAGTTGCAGAGACTTCATAGAGATAAAAGACGGACTAGATCCAGAAAGATCCGAAATAGTTAGCAGGCTGTGCAGGGATTTCCCGAAATCATCATCATCATCACCGATGACGTCATCGTCATCACCGACATCTTCATCATCATCTTCATTATCATCAATATTTTCATCATTGTCGTCGTCATCTTACAACCAGTATAGCAACAACAACAACAACCAATCAAATAACTACAATGAAATTTTACAACAAAAACAACAACAACAAAAACAACAACAACAACGTCATCACATGTCGTCATCGTATAACTCATTATATAGTGCTGATTATTTCAACAACAACAACTACGACGATCACGAGCCAGTAATCATCGTCTCAAAATCTGAGAATCTTTTCGTCGAGTTCAAATCAGACGGTCAGCTGCAAGGGCGCGGCTTCAAGGCAGTCTACAGATTTCTTAAAGACAACAGCAACGACAATGGCGACAACAATGATGACGTCAGCGACGACGAAGCCAACAACAACAACAACGACAACAACAACAACTACAACATTAATAATTTCAATTTTAACCCCGAAGAGTTCTTTGACAACAGCGACCTCAGAGCCATTGACAGGAATAAAGTTTATAACAATTATTATTACAATAATTATAACAACGATATAAATGTCAATAGTAATAATAATAGCTATAATAATAATAATAACAATAATAATAATAAATATAACGGGGCGATCGAAAAGCAGCAGCAGCAGCAGCAACAACGACACATCATATCAGATTATTTGAATATTGGTAACAACAACAACAACAATAATAATAATAACAAGAGCAACGACAAAAGTAAGTGTTGAGCGCGATAACGATGATATTCTTATGATGATGACGATTATTACAATATGACGACGGCGACGATGACGATGGTGGTGGTGATGATGATGAAGAAGAAGATGATGATGAAGATGATGGTGATAATGATGGTGGTGATGATGATGATGGTGGTGATGATGATGATGAAGACGGTAATAATGACGACGACGATGACGATGGTGGTGGTGATGATGATGAAG